ATTAATGATTATGTTCTTTTTTTTTGATTCACTTCAAACAGTATTTATTATTTGTACAGCAAGTAAGTTATCAATAAAAAGAAAAAAAACAAGTTTTTTTTTTAAACTATTTATTTTATTATTTTCAGTATTATCAACCATGGGTTTTGCTTATCTTCTAACACCATGTTGTCAAATGATACTTCGTCCATGTTCCGATAATACAAAGTAAGATGTTGACAATTCAAAATTTCAGAATGCTATGATTGGGTACAATTTGTTGAATCATGTCTACAAAATTTTATTTATGACATATTCAAACAATACTTTTCTAGGAAACCTTAAAATCTATAAAGATTGAAATTATACAAGCTGTTTAAAAAAAAAACATTATTGAATTGTTAAGAGAATTGATTTCTTTGGATATGATAGAAAAAAAGATACGGATTTGTATTTAAATAGTTTAATCATCTGAAGTTCAGTTGTAAGAAAAACGAATATCATACTCAGAATTAGCACAAGAAAAAGCATAGATCCAAGTATTCGAAAATAATATTGAAGAGTAGAGCCATTCGGTTGGGTTCGAATTTGCGTCTGAAAGTTTTGAACCTGACTAGCTCTAGCTAAGGGATATGAGAACTGAACTTTGACGAAAACTTGTATTAAGTAGTCTGTTCGACGCTGAGTTTTGTGCTAACTTTGAATATGATATTCACTTCTTGTGTAACTGAACTTTTATTGTTCGAATAAAACTTGAGACTACCACGACTTTATTTATTCGTTTAGAGTCCCACACGGAGTCAACTAATATTTTTTGTCGAAAATTCAGCTCTAATATATGAATCTTTTGTTTTCTGATTTTTGATACATCGTGGAAATAGCGTAGGTTTTGATAAGATGACGTAGGGGAATCTCTAAGACATATAAAGTATTAAACAACGGAAACTACTATTCAAAATAGTTCATATTTTTGAAACTTGAATCTTTGACATAAAACTTAATTGATTATATTAAGTTACCGACACCTTACAATTCTTAAAAAAAAAAAAGAATTTTCCTATTTATTAATTTTTTCTATTAGAATATCTTTTGGTATAGTCGGTCGTTATACATTATCAGAAATTGTTGCATTTATTTTATCAATAAGTCTTGTTTTTATATGGATTATTACTGGACATTGGTTACTTATGGATGGTAAAGAAAACCATTAAATTATAGAAAATTAAATTTATATTTTCTATCATTTTGTTTAGTTATAGCGATAGGATTATGTGTATCATTTATTACACTTGTTCGATTACCAAATTTAAAAGTGTCAGCATTATTATTATTAGGTCTTGTTATATATGATGTTTTTTGGGTATATTTTTCTCATTATATATTTACAACAAATGTTATGGTTAGAGTAGCAACTAAAGAAGCAGAAAATCCGGTAAAAAAAAATAAAACAAGACATAATACTAAAATTCATTTGAAATTTTGAAATATTTTAGTTAACAACAATTGCAAAACGATTCAATTTTAATCGTTATCATGCACCAAGACTTTCACTACCTGGTAAAATTGTTTTTCCTAGGTTTGTAAAGAAAAAAATAATTGTTTTTTCTTTATTGAGATAAAAATAAATATTTTAATTTATAGTATGCAACAACAAGGTCGATTTTCATTACTTGGTCTAGGTGATATAATTATGCCTGGACTAGTTCTTTGTTTTGTTCTTCGTTTTGAATCTAGAAAACGAATTAACAGTTTACATAATAATGATCCATTATCATTTATTAATCGTTTAACCTATTTTCAGTGTTGTTTATTTGGTTATTGTGCAGGTAAAAAAGTTTCTCGTTGTTTTTTTTTATTATAAAAGTAGAATTTTATTTTTATTAATAAAAAGGTTTATTAGCAGCAACTATTTCATCAGAAGTATTTAAATGTGCTCAACCAGCACTATTATTTCTTGTTCCATTTACATTACTACCATTATTATTAATCGCTCATTTAAAGGTAAATTTAAGAATTAAAATTATAAAAAAAATATTTTCTCGATTTGTTTTTTTGGAATTTAGGGTGATCTCAATTCAATGTGGTCGGATCCGTTTGCTGAGAATAATGAAATTTCATCTTCATCGTGCAAATTATTGAATGTTTGATGTCAGATGTCTTCTTTTTTTTCTTTCTTTCTTTGATATGCATTTTCGTTTTCAGTGCGCATCTATATAGCTCAGATTATCAATGTCGGATTTATTTGATGTGTTTTTTTTCCTAGAACAGTTTGTTGTAGTGTTTTTTTTTCTTTCGTCTATAATTATCATCGTATTTGTATTTGTTTCTGTTGTACGAACAGTTTGTTAGATAGATGCAATTTGAAAATCTGTTTCTTTAATGGAAATATGTGTTTTTAGATAATTTCAATAAAACATGAGTAAATCAACATCAGTTTTAACATCCCTATTTTATCTTGTTAAATCATCTCATTCACGCAGTACAGTTATAATAACAATAACAACTTTAGCGATTTGTATTATGGTTTTTACAATGGCTGGTCAAGCTAATTCTATGGCATTACAAGCATATTGTTCATTATGTATATTTGATTTATTATTTATTGGTACAGCTTTACTTTCAACATGGATTATTGAAAATAATAATACTAAAGTTCGTCAAAAACTTCAAATTTTAAATAATAGTGATAATAATTCAATGAATAATGCAACATCACTTTTCATTCCAACACAAACCATAGCAACATTCTCATATGGTACAGCACGTTTTGAAGTATTAGCTGTATTTACATCAACCATGCTTTCAATACTTGGAGCATTTTTTATTCTTAAAGAATCAATTGAAAAATATCTTGAAGATGAAACAATACATACTGAATTTCTTATGTTAGCATCAATATTAACATATGTTATTCATATGATTGTTATTTATTTTGTACGAAATCAAGCATTTGATCATGTTATTGCAGCTAGTTCATCAAGTTGGTTACAAGAACATGTTAGTGATATGTTTCAAAGTGTTTGTCATTATATACCTGGTGTAAGTCGTCTTCTTTTACCACGTATTAATCCATTAGCATTACTGTGTTGGTGTGGTTTAGCTATTGTTTTTTCTGATTCATTCCTTTTAAAAATGGGTTATGGAAATTTTGTTGATACATTATCATCATTACTTATGGCTTTTATGACATTTGGTACAATGGTACCAATGGCAACATATAGTGGAAAAATATTATTACAAACAACACCAGCACCTATGGTTGGACAATTAGATAAATGTCTTCATGAAGCATCAAGACTTGATGGTGTATTAGAATTTCGTCATGAACATTTTTGGGCTTTATCATTTGGAACACTTGTTGGCTCGTTACATGTTCGATGTCGGTTAGTAATTTTTTTATTTATTCATTTGATAAAATTAATTAATAAACATTTTCAAAAAGATAAAAACTCTTAACAAAATCCTTGTGAGATTAAAATGTCAGACACGATTTAACTATTGTTGCTAATCACAAGGTTTTGTTTGGGACATGTTGCTTCACAATCCTTTTACTTAATCCTTCAAAAATACAATAAGGAAGTAGTTCATATACTATAGCCCAACATTATTGATATAAGCTGTCTGATCGTATATTGACAATGCTTGTCATGATTTGTGAGAGGAGAAGTCAAAATTTTTACCCATATACTTCAGACTTTTTTTTAGGTCATGTTTTATATTGAGAAATCTAATAAATTAAATTTTTTCTTTACTTATTTATATTTCATTTATAACTGTTGAAGCTTATTGGGATTTAATATTTACTTTATGATCTTTCAAAACGGAGAGCATTGTATAATGCAAATTAATTATAGATTAACCAAAGAAAAAGGACTTCTGTAAGATTTCAATATCTATTAATGTTTATTAATGATGTCAATAGAATTTTCAGAAAAAAAGAAGAAATAAAACTTAACAAATATTTATTTTCTCTACATTCATAGTTCAAACTTAAGATATAAAGACTATCGAGAATCAATA